TCACAAGACTTAGTGTGATAGCCATTGGTCTTCTCACACTTGTCGCACTTAATAAGAAAGTGTGTACAGGTGGATGCATGCCTGCCATTCCAATAATTAGGGATTAATTGGTACATGTCATACCCACACTGTGCGTCGGCACATTTCTTAATCTCCTTAAATGGAGGTTCCTTGTCCTTCGCGTCCGCGCGTGCCCGTTTATTGGGTTGCGTGGACATAGTGGAGTCGCGAGCACGTGTTGGGGTCTCTCGTTTGAGGTCTACCTGGATACGTATCCGTGATCGGTGTGCTCCCGCGGCTTCTTAACAGCCACTTTCCCCTTCGATGTTACTCGTTGTGCGGGGAAACGGGTGGATACAGTATTATAAAACTGTTCCCACGCAAGTCGGGATAGATAAAACTTTGTTTCATGTCTCTTGTCTCGAGCCTCAGTAGCGTGTTTACGTCGCAACTCGGTATACAGGCTCTCACGGTCTTTATTCCCTATGCTCTTACAGAACACACGCATAAAGAGGAACTCGTACCATCGCTGTGTCTTGTCCTTTGTTATATCTGAACGTTTCAGGTCAGCATCTAGCTTCAGAGTATAACTCTGAATGGGCGTGTTCTCAACTTGTTCAGTTAAAATTGAACTCAGTCCTGGGCTACGCATGTCCTTACTTAACAAGGATGTAACCAACCAACACACAGCTGGCCAGTCACGACAAGTGTCTAGCTCATGTTGGTGTCGCTGCAGGATCAAATAACTTGTAACTGTAGGGTCAAACGTTTGCTTAAAGCAGAGATCCATTGCTGGGAAGCGATATCATTCGTCTCCAGCATGACCGTAAACGCATTAAGCGTACGGGTTAGCATGTCGAGGTCATGGTTGTTTATAAACTCGACCTGCTTACTGTTGGCATCCCAGTTCGACTTAAGTCGACTGATCTGTCCTTTGTAATTCTGGTTATCCCTGTGGTCTTGTCCACGTTGGGCCTGAAGTAGCTGATCGATGCGCTTTTGCTTAATCGCAATCATATTAGCAAAATATGATACATCCTTAGCATGATGCGCATCGTGGACGATTTCCATTTTAATGGTATAATCGTGGACCGATTTGTTAAGTTCGGTCACCTCGTCAGAGTGAAAATCCTCTGCGGGGTGATGTAGTGCTGTGCGATCGAAGCGATTAAATTCGACTTCATTAACACGTTTACGGGGGTGTTTATTACCCCTTGTAAAATCCATGGTCGAGGCCTTCCGGTGCTCTGTCTCTCGGATAGTGGTTGGTATTATAATCTTGGGTGATTCATGTGTCCGGATAACATACCCAGTCTTCACTGGTTTCCGACGATTGTCATCCCAATTGGGTAAAAGTGGCGGAGTATTTCTACCTGCCTCTGAGTCTATAATACCCGCAAGGACGGGTGACTCACGGCCAGGTGTCAGAATAGGCGAGTAATTAGCTTGAAGTTCTGGTGGTAGTACCTCGTAAGGTATAGATACGCTGAGCACATCTGGCTCATATGCCACAGGTGTAGCGCTCGAGTCTTTACGTTCTTCGGGCGTAATTGCCTGTCGACGTTCTGTCCACTTCTGTAGGGCTTCAGTAATGCCCGGAGAAACATGCTCGCGTAAGTGCTGTGTATGTTTTCCTGATCTATACAATCGATCTACATGTTCAACAGTCAAGTCTTTCATACGGTCAGTTAACTGATTCTTAAGATCAGTGTTTTCAGTAATTAACTTACTTATACACGTTAGCTTAGTAGTCTCGGACGTAGATTCGGGTTTGCCACTTGAGCTTGCCTCCTCTTCTGGTTCCATTATAGATTCCTTCTGAGATTTGTCCTTGTCCCCTATAATTGGGGACTCCCTTATAATTGGAAACTTTTCTTTATGAGTTTCGT